ACCTCCATCACTTTTTTGATATTCCCTCCGCCTTTTCCAATCACATGAGAATGCTCCGTATAGGCCACGTCCATTTTTAGAGTCACCTTGTTTACCTGGTTTTATGTAAACACTGGTTATTTGAGCAGATTTCAGTTCAATACTGGCCTTAACATTAAAAAAACATAAAACGACTTTTATTAAAAGCTTACATTACTCTATGAATTCTTGACATTGTAAATTTAAGGCACCAGCAACCTCACCCTGGTTTCCAACACTTCTAGTATCTTCCTTTTGGCTTCCAGGACATTAGCTCTCTTCCCTTCCACCTTCACGTGTGGATCTAGGTGGAAACAATAGATGGAAAATGATAAATCTCTGTTAACACACACACACACACACACACACACAAAGCTGTGGGAAAAACACAAAACAAAGAGCACTGATTTTGGTGTGAACGGAACATGAAGAATTTGCCACCTTTCTTTGATTTGGCTCCTATCTTCAGTTTGGATGGCCATTTCACCTGAGTGTTAGTTTCTCTCATTACCTGTGAAAGCACGGACAACAGAAGAGCGTGAGAAACAAAGAAGCTGCTGTCACTCTATGCAGGAAAGATCGTAACAGATACAATGAGAACACACACATTCAGAGAACACAGCAGATCTTAGGATACAAAGCTGCCTCCACCTCCAATTATCACCACCATAAAATCTGTAATCACTGAATGAAGAGCATCCAACAAGTAATAAAACTGCAGCGGGGATGTTTTCACTGGTCTAAGACAAATTTCACCACGAGGCTTTAAAACACTAGTGATTACACTGTCAGTGGTTTTTACAAAGGAAAATGGCCAAATATTATTAGTTGTTTGGTTTATGAATAAAGTGTTTGAATGTGTGTAGAGCCACTTACTCTCTCAAAAAACTCCTCTCCCGTCTCGACACCCTCATGCTTTGGAGCTGAAAGAAGAAGTAGGCAAATGTAAAAACGAGGCAGATAAAGATAAAATAAACCCCTAATAAAACCCAGCAGAGAGATTTGTCAGGTTGTATTGGTCGCCGCGCAATGTTCAATATGACGCATGTGAACACAAAGTCTGCATTTCAATGTTGACTTGGCTGAAATTTGTCAAGCCAGTGGAACAAGAGGTTGCTGGGAACATAAACAAGTTTAAAAGGCCATTGCTCCATGGTGACATTTACAGGGTTCAGGGGGAGCCCCAGGAACGCCTTCAACCCCCTCCTTTTATCACTACGGGTTACGCTGGCCAGAGCTGAGGAATGAGAAGAAAACACTATGGGGTGGAGCAAAAGGTGGTGGTTAGGAAAGGCAGCCACAAATTAGCCTGGAGACAACTAATCACATCAATGGCATTTGCTGACGCAAATACCTCCCACTTTACCCAAACAAAAAGAAAAAAAAATTAAAGTACAAAACCAAGGGGAGGGAGGGGGCTGTACAAAAATCAGTGTGAAGGCCTGAATGCGGTGTGACAGATTATTACCTAAAGGGTTGAGATGGGATGTTTACTGCCTGATTGAGACTGCAGTAAAAGCAGAAGTCCCAGCTGCGCGCGCATTAAAAACCAAACTGCAGTTATCAGAGCTGAAGCACTTTCCCATCAAGCGCAAACATCAGCTTGTGTCTACAGCGGCGGCACGCTGTCAGAAAGAGTTTCCCCGGCGACACAGGGGAGGCATTTGTCATAAACCCTGCCAAGCAGCCATAACTAACAGAGGCAGTTACCTTTGCTTCACAGACGGGAATGATAATAGCCAAAAGGACCTGCGAATGCATAAGCAATTGCAGGTCATAAATCACAATGATGCAGCAACAGGGGTTTAGTGGATGGCGTTTACTGATGGCGACAACAAGGGCACAGGCGGCTGGAGGCCCCCAGAGGCGCGTGGGATCAGGTAGATAACAAGGTCAATGAGGAGCACAGGATAGGATAGGTTTCAAAATAACACAAAATTCAGATGTTGTAGAGTTCAAGGCAGACTGTGAGAATGAAGTCGATAAGAAAGCCCTGAAGTTCAGGCACATAGCACTGACAGTTCCATTCATAAAAATTGATAATCCCATTTAACTCACCATACAACATGGTCTCCAGCTTCTTCCTATCGATCCTGAACCTCTCCTCCACCCACTCTGGGTCCAAACTCTTCCCTTTTGTATTCTCCTGCTCCGAATCACAGCTTCTTCCCACTTCGTCATGTTCCTCATCTTCTTTTTCCTCTCTGTCACACTGGGTCTCGCCCAGCTCAGCTTCTGCCTCTGAGTTGGGTTTTAGGCTGTCTTCCAAGTCAGGCTGCTGGGGTGCTACAGTGGTCGGGACTGGAGAGCTTTCCTCTGTGGTAGTGGTGGCCATAGCAGGACTGAGCCCTTGTCAGTGGTTTTGTGTGTGTGTGTGTGTGTGTTTGTGTATGTATGTGTGTGTTTCCGAGGAGTATGTGTGCATGTGTGTGACCAAGGAGACCAACAGGGGCAGAAAAAAGGGAGAGAGGGGCAAGAAACACCCCCTGTGTCTTTTTTTTTAAAAAAAACATCCCCCGCCCCCTTCACTTAGTTTGGTACACAAAGCTCTTTCTCTGCCCGTTCAAGCTTTAGGAGCCTTGAAGGACTTGTCTCTTTGGCTTTCATTGCACAGATGGATAAAAGTAGCTTCTTTGCACAGGCACACAGTGTCTGCTCTATCGTAGTGACTGCAGAAAGGCTAAGACAATACAACTTCAAGTAAGGCTCACTTTTCTCAGAACAAATCCTCAGTAATCCTCACTTCAGTGTCCACAGATTATCTGGATTGATAGTCAAGGTCCAATGATAAGTCAGGACACAAAACTCTCTCACACAGACACACACGCACACATCCTGACATCCAGCTTCACATCAACGCACACAGCTAACAAAACAAACAGGTCATCCAGCCACCTCAGATCATGTCTGCACTCCCTCCCCGTCCTCTAAATGAGACACAGAGGGCTTCAGATTCCAGAGGTCGGGGTGAAAGCGATCAAAGGGGTGTAATGCAGCGGTTTTTCAAAAAAAGCTTTCAATTCCTGTCTGTACTAGAAAAAGTCCTACTATCTGCAACTCTATCAACAGAATACTGTAAAATATGAAAACATATATATACTGTATCAAAGTATGATCACATTGTTAGTATCAGTAGTGTCATTTACTGTTCCAGGTAACACATTTGTAACTACTTCATATGCATCTCTCAGATCCTGTATCAGGTTTTTGTTGGATTTTGTCCTATTTTCCTTCAGATACTGTTTCCCTAATTTCTTTTGAAGACATATTGCACAGCATGCAGAAATATGGCCAAATTTTAATTAACAGCTCTCTGGGAATCACCTTGCTGGTGTAAAATTACTGATTTAAGCTTGTCAAATTGTATTATCTTTGATCTTTATCAAATATTAACCTAAAGATATGGGAACAAATTATGGGATTTTGTGACAAACCTAAAGATACAGTTTAAAAAAGCTTCCTTGCTAATCTGTCTGTTAAGTAAAGAAACAATCTTTGTTCATTTTTTTGGTCAGGTACCTTTTTCGTGGATGAGTCAAAGTTCTGTGTTAAGTGGCTTAACAAGTGGGATCAGGCAGAAAATGAAGGAAAAGCAGCCAATGTTCAAAGAATAACTTTGAAAGACCTTCTAACACCTGGAAAAAAATGAAATCTGGCTCACTGGAAGCAAAATATGAGGGAGTGGCTCAAAACCTTTACACAGTGCTGTATTTTGTTTAATAGCTACTCATACGAGTCAGATTCTGATTAGTCTTTGAACCACCAAAAATACTTAGGACTGCTGTAACACAAAGCATGAATCTCTAAAAATAAATGTAGCTATCAGATAACAGTGGTGAAGCAAGTTTCTGCTGTCATAAACTGTTTAAAATGGACAAAATAAAAGAGCAAATGAGATTTGTGAATTTGTTTAGCACTTATTATTAAGTCCTCTCACTGCTTTAAAAGTCTCACATTTGAGAGCTGAAGTGCAGATTGTATTATGAGCAAAAACAAACTGTTCAATTAGTCAGCACTTGTGGGACTGTGCTTCCAGCTCACCCTGATGTTTTTCCATATTGCCAAGACAAATCTGGCCCCAGGCGAAGCAGCAAACACTATCTGGCTGTGCAGCGCTCTTGCTAACGTTACAAACTACTTCAGGCTAGACTTATTTGCCTGAGGAGGATCGTAAATGAAAGACGTGATGACTTTGTCACCATGGCAACTGGTCAGGGAGTGAGTTATTCAAAGTTTAATCTGTCTTTACAATTGCAGACCTCTTACCTCCCGCCCCTTGTTTAGACCCATCTGACGGGAAGGATGTGGGTTTCCAGTAAAGCACAGGGGTGTGCGTCACCGTTTGATCAACATGGAGGGCAGAGAAGGCCAAACGCTCCTGCAGAGTGACTGATGAGGATGAGCTCTGGATGATGCTTAGATCAGCCCCTCAATTCATCAATGATTCAGATCAGGAGCATCCTATTCTCCTTATTCATGAGACCACCTTACCAAGAGGGCACTCTGATCCTTGGAAATCTTAACCAGGTCTTACGAGTGCTGATGTGTGTGAGAGAAGTGCTACAGATGCAAAAATAATAATAATATAAAAAAGGCCCATAGTGCAGTTAATCCTTAATCAGATACTATCAGTTAGGCAGGGACTTCATTAAAAAGTCAGTTTTTGCTTTCCTAATGAGCAGACTCTTAAAAAAAACTTGTAATTTTTAGAATTATTTAAAAAATGTTTAAGCCCTGCTGCAATATTAAACTAATAAATTGTGAAGCATGGACTGTATCACATGCATTCGCTTATTTATTCAGTCAATATCGCAACGTGTGCCCTCTTATTTAAAAGTCAAGCAGTGTGTTGCTGTGGATGCAATATGAAATATAGCTCACACTTTTGCCAGTGTACTGCAAAGATAATAGTCTTTCTACAAAGTCTTGTTGCCACTGAACCTTAAGATTAAAGAAAACTTTACCAAGAACCGTGACATGATGAAGGGTGTCTTTCAATTGAGTTTTTGTTGTTGGTTGTGTTTTGATCTCCTAGCGTACATGTGCTCCCCCCTTGTCCTCTCTGGTCTGTCAGTTAACTTCACAACTCATTGGAGGCGTTTTAATTAAAGTTGTGGTAAATGATTAACTCATTTACTCACTGATGGCTGGAAATCTAAAGCTAAATAAAGCAGAACAGATCTAGTTCTGTTCAAATTACTGCTTGTAGTCTGAGCCTTCTTTGCTTACCCACAATGTCAAAACATGTTTTTCATTGTATTCAGTGAGGATCTATTAAGATTGCTATAATATACCATCGAGCATTGCACTGTACACAGGACTTCTAGCCACAGCTCACTTGCAGATCTTGACCATAGTTAGGCTTTAAAGTCATGACATATCAATAAAAAATATGAAAGAAAATGTAACAAAAAGAAAAAAAACAAAACAAAAATGATTATAACAATAGAAACAACAGTAACTAGTATCGATAACTGATAAACCTTTATAAACAGCTGTTAAGAGCAAAAGAAGATCATTTTCAGTGATCACAGATTTGCATTTCTTTAAGTAATAATTTTGCCTTGGCATTAAAATCAGTTAATGTAATTCAATTTTATCTTCATGTATCCCCAGAAAAAAAGTGCTGGTTGTTTGTGGAACGACAAGAGAAATAAAGAGATGGTCCATACTAAGACACATAGAGCAGCAATGCATAAAAAAATCTAGTATATTCACATGGTGTAAGAGAAGAACAATAATATGGCCTCATACAAATCTGCAGTCGTCATGTAGTACCTAGGAGATGTCCAGTAATAATAAAACTGACTGTGCACTGATAATAATATCAGTGCACAGTTCCTGCAATACAAAAACTGTGGGTGACTGAGTTCATGAACACAAAAAATATATATATTGTTTTTCTCTTTACAAAATGAAATAAAATATCACATGACAAGTAACTTCTCAAATTTCCAGAAACCTAAGCGTATGAAAGTGTGATACCCTCATACACCGCAAGTGGGTGCTGTGAAGATGCAACTGCAGATGCATCGATTGCGTAAACCCCGCCACCCTCCACTTCCGGGTCGGTATTTTTGCGGCGTAACTCGTGACAGGTTTTTATTTACCACCAGTGCTGGAAGAAATCCGTTAGCGGTATGGAGCCGTACGGACCCCGGATAACTTAAACAGGCCAGTGCGGACATAACCTTTCATTTAAAGGAGCCGTTAGAGACAAACCATGTGGAGGCTCCACGGTTTTGTTGGAAGAGGTGAGAGAAAAGTCGAGAACGCCCCTTTTTCTTCTTCTCTCTTCCTACACTGAAGTCAATTATTATCAACATTTCAGAGTTTACCACGCGTTTATTAACAGAAAACTGAGGTTATTGAAGTTACTAATCTGTTGTACGGAGCTAAAAGCTAGGGTTAGCTCCTGTTGCAAAACTTGCTAATCCATTTATTGTCAATGCTATGGAGACTTACTCAGAGTTCACATACACAAACACTACCTGTCGTGTATGCCACACGCCAACACATCTGGATTCCCGTCTGGATTGCACTGCCCACGTCTTAGTTTGCTTTAATTTTCCAAAATTAGCTCATTATCGGATCTAGATCTTCTGAAAAAGGTTTCAGAATAATTATTAAAGGCAATGTCAGTTCTTTAGAAATGCGTTGTTGTTATTGTGGTTTCAGTGCGGTCCAGCTGCAGTGCAAAATCTCTGTCTCTCAATGCTTATAAACAACTGAAGTAATTAGAATGCTTTGTAATTCTGAGGAGACTGTCTCCTAATTACATTGTCTAACTTTGTGCTCAGTTCTGCATCGATATCATGGCAACAGCACCCTGCGACTGTCCCAAAACCACCATGTGGAGGACGAGGTCATCAACAACTCAGCTGTCCTCTCCACCTCTCGACACCCCCCTGACAACAGGTACTCCTCCTCTCCACGCCTCCTTTCTTCTTTTACCTGTTCACTTTACAAGGCGAGCTTTGAGCATCTCCCTTTGATGTCCAAACTTTATTGCCCTCAAAATGCAGGCCGTATCATCAGGTGACGAAAAAGAACCTTTGAAATAGGGTAAAACCTCAGACTCTGCCCTCATTGCTGTCCTTTCCTGTTTCTTTAGCCCCACTTTGAACCTATTTTGCCCTTGCTGCTGCCCTTTCAGCTGGTTGCATCATCCAGAAGCATCTGCTTTGTGTGTGTGGGTGTATGAACAGTGCAAGTCAAGGAAACACAAACAAAGCCGCCTGCGTTAAAAACAGAATTCATGCAGTGCCTTAATACAGTAGACTGGAAATACAGACATTTGGAAAAGAAAGTTTTCACAGGATTTTGTACAAAAAAAACCTTAACTGCTTCTGTGGCGGGATGTGGTGAGAGAGTTGTGCATAAATACATGCAGTGAGCTGTAGAAGATGTGAGAGACTGATAAAGTCATACAGAAAACAATTCAACTTACGGCTGCTAAAGGTGGTTGTACTAGCTGTGGAAAGGGTGTGCTTATATTTTGACCAGACTGCTGCACAGACTCCTGTGCAAATCTTCTTTTTCTCATTACTCTCTGCTTTGTTTATTGCAGATCTCAGGAAGAGGAGGATGGAGAGAGGAGGAGGAAGCAGAGGACCTTTCAGTCCAAGTATGCTGAGTTTCCGCGTTACACGGCTCTGGATGCTGTGGGATGGGTAAGCCATGTGTTGTTGCATTTAAAATACAAACATGTAACCAAAACATATTTCTTAGCATGTCCTGCATCACTTTTTCTGTGTCGTTAACTTTATCAGGAATTACCTTCATGTTCTAGTAAAAAAGTTGTCAGGACACATGTGAGGGCTGCTGTTGATTTAATATATTCAGATGGTAACATTCCTGAAGACAAAAGCCACTAAAATGACTGCTAAACATCAATATCATCAACAACGGAGCTGCACAGTTTGCTGCACACACTGCTGAAATCCACAGTATCAGCACTCAGTGTGTTCTGACTCGTTTAGCACAGCTCAGTGGTTTCAGTTTGTAACTGCTTTTTAAGCTACAGCAATGGCAGACATCAGTGGGCCAGCAGGTCAGACCCAGCTGTTTACCCCAGAGGACATTTTTCTCTCATGTTGCTGCAGCAAAACAATAGCTGCACTATGCTTTTATCATAATACGTATGTCCACTGTCTCTGAAATCTTCATGTTTTATTCACATGGACCGATTACTCATGAGTTTTAGCTGAAATAGAAACCTCTGTCACACTTGGTTGGCCGTTCCAGGCGAGGGTGCACTACATCAGATGTTCTCATTTGTTTGTCTGCAGGGTGCAGCAGCAGTTCTGTTCATGCAGCTCTGCAGGAGGATCCACTCCCAGTTCTCCTCAAGCACAGAGCCCAGTCCAAGCCCCGGAGCCCTGTCAGCCCCTTCCACTCTACACAAGTGTGGCTATCACATCCTACTAGAGATCTGTGAGTTCTTCTGCATTGTTGTAGCTGTGGAGTAGATGTACACGAGGCAGATCCTTTGGCAAAATAGTTTCATACAGTGGACATGTTACCGTTTCCACAAAAAAAACCCACTTCTATCTTTTAACTTGTGTCCTGGCTATTTTGTTGCTTTCGCTCTTTTTGCACAGTATCAAGACATGATTTCCTGCCCAGAGGAAGGAATGTGCTGTGTCTGCAGGGGGTGCTAGAGAGACAGAACCAAGATCAGTCCCCTACTCAGAGCAGTGACAGTGACAGCAGCAGCACACAGGACCATCTCACTGCCATCTCTGACCACCAGAGGGAACTCCTGATCCGGGATGCACTTATACCAGGTTGGTTCTGTGCTTGTCATAGTTTAAAGATTGCTTAAAAGTATCTTTAAAAAAAAACATTTTATTAGTTTATATTTTATGAAATAGAAAAATCAACAAGTATTTCCTCCTTGACTTGTAGAGGATGAACTCCTGTCAGCTTCCTGTCCGCTGCAGGATGATGCCAGCCAAGACAAGGCAGAGAAACCCGACACCAGTGATGAGGTGAGTCTTCATCATTTAGTTTGTCAACTTTAAAGAAAGGTTTTTTTTTTGTACTTTCAAAAAACAGACTTGACCTTTTGTCTTATCTTTATTATTGTGTTTTTATCCTCTTTAACGTTTCCAGGAAATGTTGTCTGATGAAGAGAGGCTGGCAGCGGCAGCACTGAACCTCAGACGTGTGGAAGACATCTGCGTTCCTGTTGTCCTCAACATAATTGGTCACTATTTATCAGTGCACTTAAAAAAGAAAAAAACATATATATCAGATAAACTTAACATACTGCTGTTGGAGTCAAATGAAATGGCCTTTGCACGGTTATTTTTTTCCTCCTGTATGTTCCCTTATTTCCTGTTCTATATCTCCTTGTGTACAACAGGTCTAGAAAATGCCAAGAGGGAAAACCACCAGGAAGCTTTCACCTGTTTTCTCGCTGCAGCTCAGCAGGGCTACAGCAAAGCCCAGTTTAATGTGGCGGTGTGCTATGAGAAAGGTAGAGGAGTGAGCAAGAACAAGGAGAAGGTGAGACCCCAGCCATCACTCTTGTAGCAAACAGTTTTGCTTTTGTGGACCATGTAAATGTATAAAATTAAGCATGAATTGTTTATTTCTGATATTTAATTTCCTAATTGCATTATTGTAATATCTCCTGTGATTTCTCTTTAAGGCTCTGCACTATTATAGGCAGGCAGCCGCGAGTGGCCACAGACAAGCTCAGTACCGCTGTGCAAAGCTGCTCCTGACCAGCAGAGGGCACCAGAGTCCAGAGGAGCTGAGCACAGCCATCGACCTTCTGGAACAAGCTGCTGCAGCTGGGCTGACCAAGGTAGAAGTCATGATCAGTTTCTCCCAGAGAACCATTGCAACTCTAGTACATTTATATATTATATTGTGTAATTTGAACAAAAAAACAAACAAACAAACTTGAAAACATTTTCAATACAGAAGAATTCAGCATGTTGCATTTGGAAAAGTACATTTGAAAAATGTAGAAATCAAATAGCTGATAATGTAAATACAATTTCATTCATATTTTTTTCCCTGGAACAAAACTTCTCTGAGAAAGTAAAGCATTTGTTAACAGGCTGATACTGATACCTCTGCAGGCTCTCTCCACCTCTATTATCTGAGCACTGAGAGATAATATTCCTTTTTTTTCTTACATTGCAAGATTTTTGCCTTTTAAAATTAAATAAGCTGAAAGCATCAAACAACTGGCTCAAACTCCACCTGGAGTCTTTTTTACTTCTATCTTTAAGCATCTCTTAATTGTTATTCAAGCACATTTACTGCTATCAGCATGTATCAGGGTTTTTGTTTTGTTTTGTTTTTGTTTTTTGCTGATGTTGGCGCTTCCTTATGGAATTAAATCAGCTTTCCATTTCTCCTCTTCAGGCTCAGCTCTGCCTGGCCTCCGTCTACGCCCAGGATACAGTGAAATATGGTTGTAAGTCCATCCAGAACCTGGAGATGGCAGCAGAGAGTGGCGTGAGTGCTTCCTTTAGATGTTTCTAGACTTTAATCAATGGCTTTATCTCAGAGATCGCCTCCCCTTTTAGAGTCGATTATGCTGGAGGTTGTTGGGATATCTGATAGGAAAAGATTATCCCAACAGTCTCCTGGTTTTTGATAATTAAAAAAAATCTGCAGTTACAGATGTTTTGCAACTTTCTGGTGTAGTTGTGTTAAAGATTATAATCAATTACTGTTTTTACAATTCGTTTAGGGCTGGTTTTGCTGACTGTACGTTTAAAGTTTGCCCTGGAAGGTTTACCTACTTGAATTGCATGTTTCCTTTTGTTCTCAGGATGACACTGCTCAGCTCTTCTTGGGAAATTGCTATGAGAGCGGCTTTGTTGTGCAACAGAACTTGAGGACAGCTATTACATTTTACAAAAAAGCCGCTCGAGCTGGGAACAAGCAAGCTGAGAGATTACTGAGGCCTCCTAATGAAACCTATAGTAAGGATGCAAAAAATGTGCATTAATGTTAGTCACTGCATTGTTGTAGTACAGTTTCAGTGAGCCAAACAACAGTAATAATACTTTAATTTTTATTTTTCTGTCTCCATCTGTAGCAAAAGAATCCGTGTTGCGGTCCATCCATTCAACTCCATGCTTCTCAAAGACATTTTCTCCTCTGTCAAGCTGTGTCACTCCCTCCACAAGTCAACCCACTGCCCTCCCTCTCCTGCCTCACTCCTGGAGCACCGGGAGCCTCAGCGGGCTCCCATCTTTGTCCTCCGTACCTCTCCATCTCCATTCTCCGAGCACTGAGAGAAGAAGCTGCCAGTGGACTGTAGGAATAGGATAAATACCGAGAGCCAGTCGCATTACAGATTGAGGAATGTATTTCAAAGTATGAATGAGTTTTCAGAAACCTGGGAAAGGTCAAAGTGTGTTCGGTGTGTGAGGTCTGAATCGGAGCGAATTGCTTTTATACTCAAAAAAGAAACAAGTTTTATTTAGTTTTTAAAAGATGTGAGTTATTTTTTTATGTCAGAAAGAGCTGTGGAGCAAAAGGTCTTGGAATCAGAGAAGAAGCCATCTGTCATTTGTTTTTGTACACTACAGTTTTGTTTCTTACAATCTTCCCTCTGCTAAGTTCTCCAGAAATGTGCCTTTTGGGTGGTAGGTTGTTTCCCTCCTTGCTAATAAGGATGTAATCACACACAGAGAGGTATCTGATATCTTCTGTCTACTGCAGACAATAACGCCAACTTTAAACCTCTGAAACTGAGGAAGTGCTTCACATGAATGTTATATTTTAACCTTAAATAATATAATTATGTATTTAGGTTAAACGGTTCAGTGTGGCTTGCTGTTGTAAAAGAAAGACTGCATGCTTGTGATAAACCAACCAAAGGGAAAATTAATGCACTGTGAGGAGGATGTTGTGTTGTCAAGTGCGCACATTAAAAAAAAAAAAAAGATCCTAAAGGCTGCCTGGCTTCTTTTATCGTTATTTTAATACTCATCACAAAACTGGCTTCAAATTGTAGTTTTTTCTGTGTTCAGTGTTGCAAAACAACATTTGTCAGATTTGGAAATGGCTTTGTTGTTTTTTATCACAGTCAGGTGTGCTCGAGCACTAGAAGCCAAGCATTTTTTCTCAGACTTGTGTATGACGTAAGAGTCGGATGATGTGTGATTCCATTACCTGGGTCGCAAAATAACACCGGCATATTGATTGCGATTGCGTCTCATTCCGTGAACCCGAGCGTCCTGCGTTCTCGGCTCCGATTGGTCGGCTGGCTGAAGAGCTCCACAGCGCCACGCCACTCCGGGATCCTCTGGCGCAGAGAGAAAGCGCAGCTTGGCCGCCTGCGAGCAAGGAGCCGGGCTGGGAGGGTTTATGATGTGATGTGATATGATAATACAGGCGGCCGGCTGCTGTTACGGGCGGACTCGGCAGTTAAAAAGCGGCCGCTGACTTCAGCCCTGCTCACTACTGTGTTTGCGTGTCGTCGGAGGAAAGGCAAGCGCGGAAGCCCCGGAGGCTGACCGAAGCGGTGAGTGGATGTAAATAGATGCTCTCGATGGGATGCGCTCCCCTCCCAGTGCGGCGGCGGTGGTGCTGGTGGTGATGGGGCTAGAGAGACAGAGGAGGGGAGGCTGGATGCTAAAGATTCACTGCGTCTGTTCACATATTAACAGATTATCTTCCGCAATAATGGCATTTACGGCGATCCATCCGCGCATTTCTCTAGATTTAAAGATGGGATGCTAACGATTTGTCAGTGAGGGGAGTTTATTAAGGAGGCAGCAAGAAGCGGGGAGCTAGAATACTCCACCCATGACATCATCGACTTTTTCAAGTTCATTTCCCCTCCTGCTTGAGCTTTCATCTGTTGCACTTGTTTCTGCGCGGAGGAAAGGAGTGCCCACCATAACAAGTTGGTTTCCCAACATATCTATACATATATATATATAGATTTAGAAATTATGTCTTAATGTCTAAAGCTATAACACACAGGAAACTGATCTTTTCCTTTTTTGATGACCTTTAGGTGAAAACACTTTTATGTAATCCCCACTATCGGCAACAAATGAGCAAATAAGAGTCATAATCTAACACTTACCTCCAAAACTAGTACTAGTATGCTTTTTCTGTCAATACCTTTTAAAAAAATTTTAGCAGTCCCCTTTGTCATCCATGTAAATCTGCTCATTTCCTCACTAACTTTGGTGTCACGTTCACATTTTGCATCATCACAACAGACAATGCAGCGGCAAGTATCAGCAGCATGAACAACTAGACTGAGACCCAACTGTTTAATAAGGATCCGCGTTGCTGACCAGCTGCTAACATCTTGTGCATCTCATGAATGACCTCTGCTGTTACACAGCACAACAGATTTATTGAGGACAACAGTTTCACTACCTCCGTGCGTTAACTGTGCCTTCACTGTCCAGCAAACTGCTGTGTCATCCTCCCCGCTTTATCCCTCTTATAACCATCCTTTCTCCTCCGCACACTTCACATATTCTCCTTGCTCCACTTTTATTTAAGCGGCAGAGACCTGCCTGTGCTGTTGTAGAGGAAGAGGAGAAGGAAAAGAAAAGGCCGTAATCTCTGTTTAAGATGATCCAGTTTGTCTGCGGCTCAAACCCGACACAAATATGCGTGAAAGGGATGATTTGGAGTTGTGTTGATTCAATCAGTGTATTTGTTAGGATTTTTATATTCAGTAGGTTGCAGCATATTTTGTTGCCATCTAATTTAAGGCTTGTATTGCTCAGATGTCCCATTTTGTGTGTTTTAGTCATATGTTAGTGCGTCTGTATGTGAAACTACAGGCAACAGAATTTAGGACATAGCATTAAAATGTGGCTTTAAGGACCTGTAAATGACAGTAGAAAAAGAGCATTGCTTGAGACATGGCACAGTCTGCACCTGTTGACCTGACTTGATTGTGTTTATGTCTGAGTCACAGGCGTGAAGAGAGGAGTGCAGGTTCAGCACAAACTGGGTTACAGAGGCGACAACAACCACCCAGAGGGAGGAGAGCAGATAGGGGCCCCCGCACGGACAAAAGTGCACTGTCCGGGGAATCTGCTCTCTTTAACTTACCGCCTCCATCTTTTCCCAAGATCTTGTCAGGCTTTGAAATCTGCTGTGTCTGACTTTTCCATGTTTCTAAGTAGAGGTGACAGTGATGACTCCAGCATTGTTTGAGATGTGTGCATTTGTGAAAAGATGTTTATACATTAAGATTGCGTGTCTGGGCATGTTTTCCCCGGCCTCTATTAGTTGTTTACCAGCTTTCTGCAGGGTGGGAGCCTAATTAAATTATCTAAAAAGCCGTGTTACGTGTCACATCTTAAGAGCAAGGTGATTTTCTCCCGCCGCTGTCTTTGTTTCTATCCATCTGTCTGCATTCCGCATCACAAAGCTGATCCACCCAGAGATAAAAGAGACACAGCTAGCTAGTTAGCAGGAGTTGGCTGGCACTTCTCCTCCCCACAGACCAGCTTACCGCTCAGCTCGGGCTTTGAATGTCAGTCCTGGTTGAATAAATTGAGGGTCTGACTCACTCCAGATATCATACAAATGCATTCCAGCTACATGACTTTGATGCAGTGTTTCTTTTTAACACTTCAGAAGTGACACCTTGTGTGTAAAAGGGGTGTGAGGCTGGAAGAGGATCTGCACCATCGTGCATTGATCAAAGCCTCTGAGACTGGTCAAGCCACAGGAAGAGAGATGATCAGTTGTGAGGCTGGGGAAATGTGTCAGCGTGATAATGCTGCACATTGAATGGTGTCAGGGAGCAGTTATTCCAAGCAAGCAACGTTAAAAAAAAAGCTAAATTATATCATGTTATATGTAAAAGTAATTATTTGGAGAAAGCATGCAAGCAGGAGAGTCCAGAGAAACAAGGATTTTAAAAATAAAATAACCCAGTGACTAAACAATAGGCAGTTGTAGAGTAAGTGGGCGTAAAATAATCTTGCAACCACAAAAAAAGCTCTTAGAATAAAGTGAGTGAGCAGTAAGGCTTCAAGGCTGGTTGATATTTCTAAATCTTTTTATTTTAAAAACATGTAAAATAAGTGTATCATAAATGTGGTTTTATGTTATGTTTTTGTCAATCCATAGATTATTTGACCCAATAAACCTTTTTAAATTAGACTACACAGCTCAAAGTGCCACATTTGGAAAGACCAAAACATCACCAAGACTTTTTTTAAGGTAGCATAGTCAGTGAACCCTTTTGGGGTTGGGTTGGGAAGAGCATCCGGTGTTAAAAATCTGCTGCGGCAAACGTGGCAGAAGCCAAAAATAGCTCCTCTTTATGCTTAATCAATACTGGCAAAAAAAAAAAAAACATATAAAGCTGTAGGTCAGGTTATAATGTGTTACTTAACCTCTAACAGGCCATCTCTTCTATCATCAGCTCTATCTCTGCAGTGGTTTTCCAGTCAGCCATGATGTCAGTAAAAACTCCTCCCCTCTCCCGCTCTGGCTCCTCGCCCTCCACCGTTGGTCTAGCGAATCGCAGCGGGGCCTCTGCCACCCCTCCGACCTCTCTCAGCCTTCGCTCATCATACAATCAGCTGCTTGGACGAGATGTCATCAAGGAGTCCATGGAAACCGGAAGTTCGGCCACCTTGCCGAAGAGCCGCCAGAGGTACGCGATGACCAGCGTGCGCAGCGCCATGGGGATAAGTGACAACTTGGCTTTGCTGTCTAAAAACCAACCTGTAACCAGAGGACGCGGCCTTCCCACCAAGTCCTCCTCCAGCTCCGCCCTTTACTCCTCTTCTTCCTCTTCCTCGCTGTTTAATACAACTAACCCCAAACTGGCGAAGAATGGCGCCAACATGCAGAGACGAGCTGAGAGCCAGCAGCTGGAGCTCAGCAGGGCCAATACAGAGGGCAAAATTGACAACGATCTCATCAATAATCCCACTTCAGACTGGCTAGAATTTGAGAAAGATAACTCGCAGCTTCCGCCCTTTCGAAGAAGGACCAAGAGCTTCTTGGAGTACCATGGAAAGGGCTGGGATCTGGACCTAAACCAGGGAAACAAAGAGGACAAGGGGGAAAAGAAGCAGCAGCCCTCCCCAGAGAAGGAACAGCCTAGTCCTGTGAAAGAAAGGGAGAGTCAGAAGGAGGAGAAGGCCAGCAGCAAGCAAACCTGCCAGGAAGAGAAGGAGGAGGTTGAGCCGGTGGCGGAGGAGGATGAAGAAAAGGATGAGCCCACACCGACACCAAGACAGCCACTGCTACCTGTGGTAGTCGAAGCCCCTCTTTCCTCCACCCCCTCTTCTTCTAGTAACAGCCCAGAGTGGGTTCCAGACAACCACAACCACCTGCAGAACCAAGTTCCAGCCCAGGTCAAAGAGGAGCTCTGCGCCCAGGTTCAGGCTAGCCCACGCAGCCCTGCAAAGCCTCCCCGAAGCACCCAGCCCCGGGTGATCAAGGTGGAGCTACACCCCAACAACGAGAACCAGTTTCTTCAGCAGTACCCACCCTCTTCACCTAAACAGGCCAGAGCTGCAGAGAAGACCACGCCTACCAGGAATCGGGCGCCCCCTCCTCAGCCTGAACCAGAAACCGGCCTTCCAAAAGTGGGCTTAAGAATGGATCTCACTCCCGAGACTCCATCAGAAGATGAAGACTCCAGTTGGACCACCCTATCTCAGGAGTCACCCTCTCCACTGACTCCAAAAGAGACAGGTTCAGTATATATCTGTGTGTGTGTGTCTGTGTGTTTGTCTTGCCATCTGATCGTTCCCTTGAAAAATTTGCATATCTGTGTCAGCCTTTAATCATGCCTCAATTACACCTTCCTTTCATTCCTCCTCTCTCTTCATTTCTCTACCTCCTACAGACTGTCTGATCTGGAAATTTACCAAAGGCATCACATTAAGCAAGCAAGTCACTTACTCCAGTGAAATACTGCTGGAACCTTTAAGCCCCCTGTAAACCCCATGTGGTGCAGAGCGTGATTAGGATGGGCATAATGACAAGATAGTGCAGATAGCAGTTTGCAAAAATGGAAGATAATTCAGGAAGAAGAGAAGAGGAGGGCTGGCTGTAGTAAAATATTATTGTAGAGTATAAAGCACAAGTTCAGGGACAGGCTGACCACATCTAGCTTGTGTTATATATGTGTTTTTATCATGTTGTTTTTTTTGTTTGCTTTACTTTTGCAGAGCCCATCTGTGTGTAATACTATCTGAATGATAGTATGTGTTTATTTGTCACTGTCATCCTGCAGCAGATGTATGGGTTGAAGGGGAGCTGCCCCCAGGCTGGCGGGAGATCTCAGACTCATCAGAGGTCTATTTTTGGCACGTGCCCACCGGCACTACGCAGTACGACCGACCTGTTGCCTCAAGCAAACACACCGTTTCTAGCAATGATGACGAGAATGACCCACAACAGGTCACACAGGACTCCCTTAAGCCACCCAATGAGGTGAGGCGACCCAGAGAACTAAATAGACTTCAAGAGTAAAAGCACGTTTAAAAGTATAATGAGATCTTTTATGTATAAGGTCTTAACAGCATTATGTATCTTAACGCTCTCAGTCAGGATTTAATTCTGCTGAATGTTAACCGCAGCAAACAGATGTAGATGCAGATGTTTAAATGTAATGTATTAATGCAGATACTTTTAAAAAGTTCCCTACGTTTTCTTTGAGAGAAATTTATGTTTAGATGTTCACTATATGGGATTTTCGTCCTTTGGAGATGTCAACCCACAGCCTTCTACATAACAACAAGCAGATGCTGATGAACAGTAAGATGTGGTTGAAAGGTCTGAAAAAGCTTCAATTTACAAATTTATTTAAAAAAAAAAAAGTTGCTTTTTTTGAAAAAGTCCATGTAGTGGTTTGTAAAAAACCCAACGCAAATTAAAAGACAGGCTTTAGCATCTTCTGTGTTGTGTTCAGAAAGAATCCTCCATATCTGAAAGCTGCTGCTGATCAATGATGTACCTTCCATCAACAGTCTGTTTGTGCAGCTCTGTGTCTCTCACCCTGGATCCCTCACGGTCTCTCTGTCATCACCCATCTGTCTCTCCCACAGCGCCCCAGCAGCCTGATATCCGACAGCTCCGTGGAGCCGGTCCCCTCGCCCTCTGGATCCTCCCCCTCCCCTTCCTCCTCCTCCTC